TTATGAATCTACAGGATAGTGCGGCGTGAAAGGTACGATCGACCGATGGCCGCGCGTGTCGCCGGTTCCCGATTTTCCTCCACTTTTCTCTCTTTCTCTCCCTCTTTCGCGGAGCTGAAATAGAAGCGTGTGACGAAGGACCGGAATTAATAATGGGCGGGAATAACGTCGCGGATACATCTCTTTTCTACATACGGACACGCCACCGCTCTAATTAGCCTTATCGACAATGCGCCGGGCGCGTCCGTCGCCGAGCGCGCGTAACCGTCGCGTCTCCGGGATATATCGGTCACGGTCACAACGACGGCGGAGCGGTTAACAATTTATCGGACGACACACGCATACACCCTCACCACACACATACACCATACACACACACACACACACACACACACACACACCACATCACACACATACACACACGCGCGCGTATACACATATACGCACACAGTGGAACGATGCAGCGCGAACGGCGGGTGTTCCTGGCTGCGTCGCCGTGTTCCTGGCCGGAGCGCGCCAGCGATCGATATGCGCCGTGCGCTCTATACGCTTTTGCGAGAAGAGAGAAGTCCTATGGTCCTCCCTCGCGCTCGCGAGCGCGAACGCTCATCCGCCCTTCCTCCCCGAGAAAACGTCAGGTCGCCGTCCCGATAAGTCCCCTTCGGTAGAACATCGTGACTCTTGAATCAATGATTTTTCGATTCAAGACGAAATTTCGACGCGGGCAAAAACGTCCTCCTGTCTCTCCCTTCCTTTTTCTCCGTCGTTTGCGTGTGTTTATCGGGGGCACGGGGGATAATCGATGCGTGTCGGTGTAGGGTGTTGCGTCAAAGATCGAAGTCGCATCGGAATTGCGGCAATTTCCCGTTCTTATCGGAACTCTAGAGATGTCAGTCTCGCATCGGTCCCGCCGCGATCGATCTCTCCCTGAATATATAGAGTCACCCTGAATATAGAAAACGCCCTGAACATATACGTCGCAACTGAAACCGCGCCGAGACCGTGCCCCTCGTTCCGTCGTCGCGCGTTCCCGCACCTGTCGCCGATAATTTTCTCTTTCTCTTCGTTCCGACGACAGCGGCGGTTTCTCGGAGACCGGCTTCCAGAGATCGTGACGCATTCCTTCTTTTTCCCGCAATCGCAGCCAGTATCTAAGTATTATCCGCGATTACCGATTTCTAGCTGGAAACGCACTCGCGCGTGCGCGCGAGTAACCGGCCGGCTTCGTGGAGAAGCGCGCTCTGAATTATTCACCGCAGCATGCGACATGACTTGCGTAGGCCACTTCTGTAACCGCCTTCGTAAAAATTTCAGGTCCTCGCGGACTAACCGTGCCGGGGCGGTAAGCGGTGTCGAGATATATATTGTTATTCACAGCGAGAAAGAGGAAGAGAGAAAGAAAGAAAATCGCCATTTATTAAAAGCCCTGAGATAATTTCCTTTCATAGGCAAAAACGTATGACCCTGCACAAAAATTAGGAATAAAGATTAATCATTGTGCGTTACGTTTAATTTCTATTCCTCATTTAAAAATTTAATATTTCTTCTTAATATTTTCTCCATTGTACACAGGAATCTAATGAATGTATCACATAGATTATAATAATACGTTTCATAATACAATGAAATAGTACAACTCAAAGTACATGAAATTAAGTAAGACAGAAAAAGAGTGTGTCGCGCAATAAAATAAATAAATAAGCGCATGTATATAGCATGCACATATATGTACGTGTACACATAAATACCGCGCAAGAGGTATTTATATGACTCTCGTAAAGCTAACGGCGACGAATCACGACGAGGCCTATCCCTTCGACGATGACGACGATGCCGATAACAATCCGGCGCGAATTCGAGCAAATCGAGTATAAATACAATTTGGCCTCGAATTACGACGCGATACTTCTTTGTCGGCGACACGGGCGCGCTAAAATAATCCCTACGCCAAATTCGCGCGACGGGAGGCCCGGTTTCCGCGACTGTTTTCGCGCCGTCGAAATACGAATCTAGCGAGATCGTAACCGACCATTTGTGATCGGACATGTGTGCGCTCTGATAATACGATAATCGGCGGCGGTAAGGCGATAATCTCTTGCGATTCTTCAAAAGCGGAGTTTTATCCGCGACGAGCGCGTTCCTCGTCACGTATACACGTACGAGAACGCAATGCAGAACTCTCTTTTGGGGAACATATAATCTATACGAAGTGGAGCAAGCGGGAGCAAGTACGAGCGGGAGAGAAGGGAGACAGCGAGATTGAGAAAAAGAGACGGACGCGAGGGGAGAGAAAAAGAGAGAGGCGGGAGGGCGAAAGAGAGAGAAATAGATCGCAAGGAGCTTCTCGCGTGTTCTCCCCCTTATCTTTATAGATGTCTATACGGAAAATAATCAAGTTATAATGTCATTTTATCAATAAACAACCGCTTATCGTCCCGTACACTTAGGATGTAATCGTTCCAATCTGTCGCGCGATTATACGTTATCTGACACCACTGTCAAATTGCCGCACTGACACACATACCGGGAAAGTGGAAATAGTATATACCTAAGCAGAGGGGCAAGGAGGTGGGGAAGGAGGCAGAAACGAAACGGGCACTACGAGAGCGAGACTGAAGGAGACTTTGGGGAGAAAAAGAGAAAGACAGGTGTGGGGAGGAAGGAAAGGTGAAATAGGAGAAAGGCAAAAGGAGTCTGGGAAAGGGGTGCGGAGGACAAGGGCGACGATGACTACGACGACGACGATGGTACGGCCGGGTACGATAAATTTTCACGCTTTACTCCCGCCTGTAAATTCCTCGAGAAGGTAGGGATCTGTACTTTGGAACGCTCGCGCCAAGAATAAGGTGAAATTGATCAAAATCAATACCCCGAAGGACAAAACGAGATAGACCGATGGAGAAAAAGAGATAGGAAACGTGAGAAAATTACAGT